TAAACGCAGCCTAAACTTTTGGATTTCAAGAGATTTGTACTAATATAACCCAGCTGAATCTCGATTTGCTCCTCACAGCACTTGGAACTGCACAGCTTGAACATGAATGTACTTTTAAGTTGTCATTCATGGGAGATGTCCACAACTGCAACATACTGTGATGATGGTATTAGGTGTACTCTACGAGGAAGGAGTACAAATACAAATATGTAGAATGCAGAATCTTATATTTTGTATCTCTAAACTCGAGTTCCAAAGGTTCTGTTTGGAAAAAGTACAAATACAAATTTGTAAAATGCAAAACCTTATATTTTATATCTCTAAACTCGAGTTCCAATTAATAATCTCAGTTTAAAACAGAATTAAATTAAACAGTTCATAAGTAATTGGAACCAATGTAATTTGTAAGGTGGGACGATTGCCCAATACATTCAAAATATCGGTATTATCAGTAAGAGTGAAAATAGATATGTATTGTCATATGCTTTGAAGACATATGGATACAAGAGGGAAATATATGGGTACACATTAAAATATTAAAAAGCCCTATGAATCTCACAAATACATTAATTACTAAATCAATATTTTGTATTCTATTTATTTTTATCTTTGTATATTATCAAAAGTAAGTCAACTAAATTTTAAATTTGTAATGTTCTATCTAATGGTTATATAACTTGTAAAAATTTATTAATGCAAACTAAATTAATTTTATAAACATTAAATTATTATTATTAATTAAGTATTTTATAGAAATTAGGGCCGCAAGCCGGGCCAGGTTAAGTCAAATTGAGTTCAATCTTAACCCAACCTGAAGTTTTTGGGTTGGCCCAACTTCTCTAGTTCCTTTTGCCAAATGTCCTTATTTACTAAATTCAAGGATTGAGGTAAATTAAGTTTTAGCATTATTATATGTAAACAGACATAATTATCATACATATATACATACATATCCATAAATGTATATATATAGACCTACACACATAAACTGATAAGCATATGTTTATACAACATGTATACATAGAAATATGAAGCTAAGTCCGGGTGAGTTCACAACTGCGCCCCACAACGTCCCACATCACATCCCCACCATGTATTGGGAATATCTCCCGATGATAGTACTAGAACCAATGATGTCATCATCGGGAGATGTTCCTAATACACAGCGGGGATGTGTTGTGGGACGTTATGGGGCACAGATCTGAATTCAAGTCGGGTTTGGTCAAGTTCTCAAAGACCTCAAACCTAACCTATCCCAAACCAACTTCTCCAGGCCACGTTGCAAATGTAACAAAAATATACCTTCTTAATTTAAAGATATATATGATCCATAGGGGTGGATTCGAGCTGAGCCGAGCCGAATAGTACCAGGCTCAAGCTCGGTTCGAGCCAGAACCTTGAGCTCAAGTTTGGCTCGAGTCAAGAGTTCATAAGCTCGAGCTTGGCTCAATCTCGTTTTATATTTTATAAAAATATTTTATTATAAAAATATTTTAGAAAAATAAAAATTATATATAATTTTTATTTTATATTTTAAAAATTAATAATTATAATATTTTTACTATATATTATTTTCTATAATTTTATTATATATATTAAATATCAAATATATATATATATATATATATATATATATATATATATATATATGCCGGCTCTTGAGCTTCACGAGCCAAGCTCTATTAGGCTCGAACTCAGCTCGTTTAATAATCAAGCCACTGAATTGGGCTCGAGCTCAAACTCAAACTCGGCTGAAACCGAGCCGAGCCGAGCTTTTCATGAGCCGAGCTCGAGCAGCTCGTGAAAAGCTCGGCTCGTTGCCACCCCTACTGATCCATTAGAAGTTCTAACATACATATTATATCATATGCAATTCATAAATTTTAAAATATACTTTTTTATTTTTATTTCTATAAATTATAAAAACTTAAAAAATATGATTTTTATCATAAATTGATAATAGAACAATGGATTTGATAGATAATTCATAATTCAACTTATAGTTCTTTTCCACCAATAAAACCATTTAAGATTAATTATTTTATAATTTTTAATTTCCACAATTTCTTTAGGAAAAAATTCTTGTATTAGAAACATCATTACTCCAACAACAGTAAAACTTTCATGGGACCCCTTTGAAGTTTCTTTCAATCGCTTCATTCTAAACTTGTAACAACTAGTTGATTCTATGCTAGCCACACCCAACAGCTTACTTCGTGTAACACCCAATCTAATAACCTAGTGCAAAAAAATCACCAAATACTCCTAAGACAATTAAACCCATGAATTAGTCAAAAGATTTTCACGGAAAGCTCGTTTCTTGATGTTTTTTTAATGCAATTTCAATCAATAATTAGGGGTGCAAATTGGGCAGGTTGGGCTGGGTTTATGATCAATTCGGACCTGACCTTAAAATTGGGCTTAAGGCCCAAGCATGATTTTCCCAACCCGAGCCCAGTCCACACTGTAATATGATGCACTTGGGTTGGGCTCGGGCCCAGGCTGGGATTGGGTTGGTCAATTAACCCACTCTAAAATTATACGTAAGTATAAATATGTATAATTGGGCTGGGCTCAACAGGGCTCAAGCTACATAAGGGCTCTAGGCCCGGCCCGAAAAATAAGAAAGCCCAACTTCTTGGGTCCGAGTCCAATCCGTGTAAAATTTCAAACTGGGCCAATACAGGCTCGAGTTGGACCCACCCAAGTTGCACCCCTATCAACAATACACCCTCTAATCCTCTATTACTATTCCCGTAGGGACCCCTGTGCAATGCAACGCAAGTTACGCATCCCTGCTATAGTTTACGTCCAACCTATATCCTCTGGTCGAAGAACAACAATAGGTGCGTCAAGAACTCCTTTCACCCCCTAGGGTGGCCATGACCTAAGCTTTTTCACGAGCTATTCAAGCTTAGTTCGGCTCAGTCTAAACCAAGCTTTGAGACGAACTCAAGCCTAGTATATATGTTCGTTTGCTAATCGAGTTGAGCTTGAGCGTGATAAAGCTTGGCCCGTGAAGCTCGTGAGCCTAATCAAGCTTAGCTCGAACTTCCAAGCTTTTGACTTGAGTCAAATTTGAGCTCAAGTCTCTAGCTCGAATTGAGCTTGAGCCTAATAGTTTATTAGAAAGCCAAATCCAATCCAATCCAAATTTTTGTAAAAATAGGCAGAATGAGAAAATATTGCCATGAATCAAACACTTCTTCCTAAAAATGAATTATTTTCAATCTGACAAGTGTCCTATGATGCTTATTTTCATTTTCAAAAACAAAAATGTGTCGATAATCATAAACCACTAGCCTAGGTCTCCAAAACTGATGGCGTAGATGTTTACCGATGGATGGCTGGCAACCAATATTTACTAGTTGTCATAAACAAGGTTCAAAATATCAGTATGCCTGATACGCCGGTATGGGCGTATCGAGCGAATCGATACAACTTTTGATACTTATTTTCTTTTTTTTTTTTTTTGCAACCGGTTCAAGGGGAGCCAGTTTAGGGCTCCTCCACCCCTTGAACCGGTCAGACCCCCGATAGACCCACTGTAGGGGTGTATCAGAGGGGGTCCCGAAATGATACGTATCCGCCAATACGGGCCGATACGTGTCGATTCTTTGAACCTTGGTGATAGATGTTTTGTAAAAGCACTTTTGTAAAAGTGTTTTTATTAAAGTACTTCCGTAAAAGTACTTTATAGAAAGAACTTTTATAGAAATGCTTTTGTAAAAATGTTTTTATTAAAGTGCTTTCATAAAAGTATTTTTAATAAAGTGCTTTTGTGAAAGTGCTTTCTTAATGTAAAAGTACTTTCTATAAAAGTGTTTTCGTAAAGGTACTTTACTTTTGCAAAAATACGTTTCATAAATATACTTTTATAAAAATACTTTTATGTTAAAGGTACTTTCATAAAAGTGCTTTCACAAAAGTAAACTTCTATGGCAGTAGTTTTGGCTCAAAGAATGAAAATGAGCAAGATGAGACATAATTATTTTTCATTTTGCAAGCTACTTAATTTTATTGCTATAGGACTGAAATTTCATTCTAAAAAGAATGTGGCTCATGACAAAGATTTTGTAGCCAAACACTCTAATATTATTCATTCTTTGCCTAGAATGAGCAATAACTAAAAGAATGAGGCACACAGCATTAAACCAAACATGGCCTTAGGGCATCCAGGTGAATGCCCCTTCCCCAATGACTCTTGGAAGGACTACACCTTCTGGGTTTTGGTGTCTCAACCATAGTTTCCAAAACCAAACCGGACCGGACGGTCACACTGGAAAAACCGAGAACCGATCAAGTGACCAATTCCATTTTCCCCCCAAACCACTTTTTTCCCCAAAACCGTTGATTTTGGCCAGAAAACCACTGAACCGACCGGTTAACCATTCGAATGGTTTTGACTGTTTTCCAATATTTTTTTTTTATTCTTTTGTTTTGTCAAAACGAGCCAACCATTTGGGTCGATCGGTTGGGCCATTTTGAACCGGTAACCGGACCCCTGACCTGTTCGGTCACCGGTTCGTTTTTAAAAACCATGGTCTTAACAGTGATGGATGATGGAAGCTTTGGGTTTGAGCTCAGGGATTGGTGGGAGAATGCTTCTTGTTGTACTTGCGATGCCACTGTTAGCCCCGCCTTAGACATAAACCTTCATCAACTTCAAGGCTTGCTTGAGGCCAAGCATCGCGTGATTAGCAACCACTTTGTTTGCTCAGATTATTCGAAGTTAGCCATTGATGCGATTAACGGCAAGTCTTCTTGGCCCTCGTGTTCTTGGAGGGAGCTTACTGAAATAACTTATATGCTGTCTTTAGTCTGTCTAAAGACTAAGGGTCCATTTAATTCACAGTAGAATCGGAATTGAAATCAGAATTTGCTAAAATAGATTCCCATTGCCTAAATGAGGGGGCCATTCCCTCAAATGGAAGAATACCATTCGGATTCCAAACCCCGATTCCCACAATCCAAAAGACCGTAAAGTTTCACTGCTTTCCTTCCTCAAAAGATATATGATGTGAGCTTGTAATTTACACAGACGCATAATATTGAAACGCACCAAGTTACAAACACATGTCTGGGCAATAACCCATGGCACAAATCTGGAATCCCAGCTCCCCCCACCCCCCATTACAGTAATACTTCCATTGCACATTATACAAAACCATGCTCAATCCCACCCCACCCCAGCAGAAAAAAAGATACAGTTTTCAATAAAAATGCTAATACTACAAAGTCCACGCCCACCAAGAAAATGTAGAACAAAAAATCAGACTCCCAATTTGGAAAAGGCACCAAATACCTCTTTATAGAGATATTGGGTGATAAAAGCTTGTGCGGCTCATGATACACAACTACGACTGTACACTTAAATGGCAAGCCTAGCGCAAAACTCTTCAGATCATCAACAGCTCCCACTCCGCAGCATAAAATAGAGTCATGCCTGTAAAATGAAAACGAAAGCCAGCAATTGATTCAATACTTACCGAAGTAGTGCTGGCTTTACGATCTACGCCCACATTCTAACTCATCTTTCACTGGATCAGCTTCGGTTCTTCAAGCTGTAGACGTCAAACTTAACCTGCCATAAATAACCAGACAATCGACCAACGCGGATAGTATAAAGACAACTAACTTTGGGCATTTCCAAAAATAGACAAGAGCTAAGAAAAAACGTGCCTTATCACCGGTTTTGATACAGATTCCGAATTGGCACCACTTCGAGCTTTTAGGACCATCCCAAGTGCAACATTTGGCTTCAAAATACAAAAAGCACGAGGAGCAAGCAAAAGTTGACAGGTCAGTACAGAAACATATTCATGTCTAAAAGATGCTGGAGGACTTGGGAATTACGCTATTACAGAAAACCGATGGCAATAAGACCTTAAATTGGGAGTTGGTGGTTAGAATTTTTTCTTCTCATTATCGAGATAGAGTGCAGAGAGAGAGAGAGAGAGAGAGAGAGAGAGAGAGAGACCAAAACCTCCAACTCTTCTGTTAGGTCGTTCTGAAATATCCCATTCCCGTTTAAGCACCCATTCTCCAAAAGCAATTCTGAGTTGGACTTACATGGATCAACCTGCAAAGAGCCTTGGTTGTCACCCCCTCCAAAGATCCCACTGCTACCTGCTACAGATTCTGATCGGACATCCTCGGAGGAACTAACCTCACGTGTGACTTGGATACTATTATCTCCCCCCAATCCTGCATCAGAATTTTCAGTGCCAAGTGATTGCTTCTCCAGTTTGACCAGCTCACTACCATTCTCAGCATCACCCTCTGACCACGTAAGCCTTCTACGAATAGAACCAGCATCCCCATCTATCTGACATGTTCCATCTAACCCGCTGCTATGAACTGCAGAATAGGCAAGAAACTCCTGCCTTGAGCCATTTGAAGCCTGTTTGTCTTGAATGCCAGCTATAACCCTTTCAGAATTTGAACAATGCTCAGTCCGAGGAAATGATGAACTAACCCCTATTGGGTGTGGCTGCCGATCACTTTGTGCAGAGTTGAACTGAGAGGCTCCACCAGACATGTTACTACCAACTTCAGGAGAAAGAGAATTTTGCCTTTGGGGGCTAATGGAAGCCCGTTTTTCTGGCTTTACATCAACTACTTCAGGATCTTTTTTTCTCTTGAGTCTTCCTTCTGCTGATCCAGTTCTGGATCCATCATCACAAGATGATTTTTCAGCTGATTGGCTCAAAAGCTTTGATGGCCGAGGTCGTCTATACCCATCTGGAAACACATATGAAGGAATCTGTTTTCTACGAACATGAGAAACATATATTTCCATCCCTGGCTTCCAGAACATATACATGTTAATTGAATGTCTGAACTCATCTACTGTCCCCCGTATATCAAATTGTTGACCTTCCTGGACTTTCACCCCCTCTTTCCTCTGCAACCCCATGAAAAAGGCACAATGTGAGCACTGTTTGGAGGTGTCAACATACTCATTTGGATAAGGATGGCACTGCAACATCCCATATGTGTCTCGTTCTATCTGCACATTAACGCATGAAATGCAAAGATGAGAAAAAAATATCATCTCTTTTTGACAAGTTCTGAACGACGGAATAACCTGAGGTCAACATTCACAATAGCCCCTTGGTTCATAGTAAAGGCCCAAAAGCCTAATTCTACCTTCAAAGTAAGTTGCCTCAGCCGGGACTCTACCCAACCTTTCCAAGTACGCAAATCATCAACATCTGCTGCAACTATGTCAACCTGCAAATAGTTTTTATATGTTTCGAAGAAAAGATATGGCTCAAACAATGCAGTCCACTGTGCTTTATTCAGCTCAATCTCCTGAATGGTATCAAAGAGAGAACAGGTGTCAGCTACAACCACATTTACACGAGAGTTCACTGAACTATTCGTTTTCTTACCTCACAGATCTTGTTACCAGTCTGGAATTGGTCCATCATAACTCGAAGGGTACTTGTTGAAACATTGTAACTAGAGTTCATGCAAGGGTATGCAGGTGTGATAATCGGCATATGATGAGTTCGGTCACGAGGATTTTTACGAGGATCCCACACAGGGAAACCAAGTTCATCCTCCTCTATTGGACACAGCATCACAGGATTTGGCCAACGCCACTGGGTATAAACCCTGAAAAAACGGGAAACCAACATACTGGGAATTGCATTAGGGTAAAGCTGACATACACGAGCAACTAAAAGAGCCCAATTCACACCACCAAGAAATCCAGTAACCTGATGATGGCAGATCAGAGAGGTAAGTAAATAAAAATTCTGAAACTGAAGTGCCAGGAATAAGAAAAACAGGAAGCTTCTTCGATGGATAAATGGCAAAGAAAGTTCCCTTACATTTGAATATACACCACGCCTTTTAGCCCAAAATTTTAAACATCTTAGAGTGGTACGAAAATGCTACAATTAGAAAATAATGGAGTCAGAAAGACCAGAGCGCCAAAAAATTAAATTACAATCCAAGAACAAGTATCTCAAATTTTCACCTCAACATTTGGAACAAGACGGAGAATCTGATCTGCAACCCTGCAACCATTAAGGCTTCGGACTGTTGGTTCATCAACATTGTACAGAACAGACCTATGGGAGATGTCCAAATCCTGTGCATAGGGTTGGTCCAAAAAAATGCATATCATTGATCTGACCAGCAAATTAAATATGCAAACATGCCTAGTCCATTAACACATCATCCATAAAAATAAAGATGTCCATCCGATGAACCAAAAAATCAGTCAATGAGTCTCCTACAAATCATCATTAAATCAAAAAGGAAATTCCTGAATATGCTATAATATAAATTGTGGCAACCACCTGATTGCCTAATAAAATGGAGCACAGACCATCATGTTGTGACCCTGGCTAGGAAAATCTGATATCACAGAATGCTTTTACTACACTTGCCTTATTAAGGAATAACAAAAACAAGTTCACAACTAATATTCATTATAAATGCTCAAGTATGAAGATAGAAAGCACCTACATTATATGCAAAAAGCAGCAGTAATACAGGAAGGACAAAGATGATATTTTTTAGGTGAAGAAAGAGGGCCCTCCTTCCTCCATTGAATGCAGTTGCATCTTTCTCCCAACCAAACTATAGAAAATAAGTATCATCTACCAAGCTCCAAATAGAACATTGAAAGTCCTAAAAGTATAATACAAGGTCAAAATGGACAAAAAGAGGTTCCCTGTGAAAAAAAAAAAAAGAAGAAGAAGCAATGGAGGTGTTTTAGAGAATGCAAGCATAGGGATGGATCCACTTCAGACTTACTTCTGGAACAACCAAACAGGAGATACTTGCATAAAGAAGATCAATTGAAATCCCCTGGAACTTGAACTTCATTACAGGAACATGGGCATCTGGAACAGGCTGAAGTTCAGTAACTTCTTCCATGTCTGCTAGAATATCATGCAAGATAATGAAGAAATCTTCCTGAAATAAGCAACAGAACATTGAATATATTTCAAATAACCCAAAATTAAAATAATAATAATAATACCAGAATTTAAATGACTAAAAATCAGCAAACCCAGGATTAACCTCTCGATTGACATATGATGGCCCAACACACAGCGTGTCTATGTCAGCCCCGGGTCCATGCACCTGTCAAGTGTCAACATCATAGAAAAAATATCTCCATGAATCATCATCATCATCCAAGCCTTATCCCAACTATATGGGATCAGCTACATGAATCCTGCTTCACCATTTTAAAGCCATATCTGTTGTTAAATTATTGGCGCTAAAATCATTTATTACTTTCTAACCATGTCCCATTTGGCCTCTAGCCCTAGCCCTTCTAGCCCCTTCAATTTGCAACAAATCACTTCTTCTTATGGGTGCTATTTACGGGACGTCTATGCACATGATTATACCATCTTAATCTACTGTCACATCTTATCACCTTGTAGGAGAATTCATTGGAAATTGGCAACCAGCTGCCTAGAGGCAGGAGAGTTCTGCAAGTCTATGTTTTTAAGCACAACCGCCTACAACTGTCTATGCAAGCCTTTTTTTCAATTCTATGATGAGTAAAAATTGAGATGTTTATCAGAAGAAGGATCAAAGGACAACTAAATGATGAAAAACCCTCAACTCAGGGAAAATGGAATAGGAGACAATACAAAATTGTCCCAGTTGAATGAAAAAACAATATGTAACTGACAACTCTGTATAACCACCCATTGCTAATCAACCAAGATCAGGTTTGATATCAAAAAGAAGATGCATATTAGATCCGAAGATATCATGTGCACAGCACATATAAAACGAGGAAAAATAAAATAACATCAAGAGGAAAACCAAAAGAGTAAAAATAAATTGAGCCTCCATTGAAATCAGATTTTTAAAAAGCATGTGATGCTTATGCCTTGAAAGGAAAATATCTTAAACCCCAGCCTTGATGATCACACCTTATGCTATTATTGGAGTCTACTAAGAACAATGAGGAGCATCAGGTAAGTTACAATAGAAACGTTGTACTTTAAGAGTATATAAGTTGTAAACACATAGTGTATATTTCCAATATCATTTTTTATCAGTAACGGAAGTTTATTAAAATAACAGGATAATAATTAAGGTTACATCAATCTTTGCTTCCCAATTAAATGGCTGAAATGCCCCAGCCACAAACATCCTTATAATGGAGCCCAAAACAATTGCCCCTAGAAACCCCATGTTTGGCCAAGATATCTGCCACACCATTATCTGAACAATTAACCCATCTGTATGTGATTTTACTCTTGAAATGCTTCATCAGTTATTCATAAAAGAAAGAAAAAGAAAAAGAATGAAAAATGTTGTAAGATAGAAAAGACAACATCAGTTACTGATAAAAAAAGAAAAAGAAAAAGAAAAAGAAAAAGAAAGAAAAAATGTTGTAAGATAGAAAAGACAACATCAGTTACTGATAAAAGAAAGAAAAAGAAAAACATTGTAAGATAGAAAAGACAACATTCTATCCCACTCCCATTGTTGCTCACTTTATCTACAGTAAACACCATATACTTAGAATGAAATAGCACACTCCTCTAGGAAAAAGGAAAGGTAATGGAATGAAAGCCCCCAGCATTAATTAATCAAGCTTAACTTTAGTGGGAGCTCTATGGGAAATCCAGGATTGGCAGGCATTGGTGGTGTGTTTAGAGATTCCTCAAGCAAAGTGGCAGCAATGTATTCAGGACCATTTGGGGTTGGTGACTCTCTAGTCTCTAAAGTCTGACCTGTTAGCACTTCAATGAGCTAAACCTTGCTAAGCAGGCTGATTTAAAAAAAAAAAATGGAGATTGAAGGGGATTCGAAACTGGTGATTTCTTGGACTTCCAACAGAGTTAATTTTCCTTGGATTTACAGACATATCATGAGAGGGATTGAAAGCCTTGTAAGGGAGTTCAATGCTTCTTTTGTAAGGTTAGGAGGACAGCAGATGGAATGGGAATGGATGACTTTTTTTGTAGGAAACGGTTGGAATGGCTGACTCTTTAGCCTACAGGCAGCAATTATTTTGGGTTTTATTGTAATATTCTGTAGGGCATTGGCTGTCTTTTGATCTGTATTTTGTTTGCTTAATTAATAAAATTCTATTTTGCTGATAAAAAAAAAAAAACAAAGAATTTAGAATTAATACATGTTCAAAGATACATAATTTTTTTGGGAGAAAGGTAAATTTTATTGTTTTTTATCAATAAATTAAGCTGGTCCTCACTCATCAGGGATAACAAAGAAAAGGTAAAGTTTATTTAAAAAAAATAAAAAAGGAAAGGAGAAAAGTACAAGTAGGGAGTTAACCCACCCACCCAGCTACAACAATAAAATACCAGGCCTACAGCACAAGAAAAAATATTATATCTATAAAGCTATTTAATATAATACATAATATGAAAATTCTTTCAACATCCACCCTATTTCTCACTCTTCTTTTTCATTCAGAGCTGCAAATTGAAGTGTAAGTGTTAACCACTCATCAGGGAGCAAAGGGTTAGTTTGCTTCAAATTGAAATTTTAATAGAAACTAGACTGCCAAGCATCACCTTGAGATAAAAACCTACGAAACCCAAAATTAAGTGGTGTTAACCAATGAGATTATTTGCTTCAGCTATTGCATCAAGAAAATGGCCCCCATATACTTGATGTGTTTTCACTACTTTCACAATCTGAAAACAGTCAAAACCCCTTCTATCTTTATTCTCCGCTTTCATTTTCAGGAGTGGTTGCACATTATATCAGTAATAGGTGAGGAAAAATAAATAAAATGGGCTTCAATGGGGTGATTACTTATTTCCAAATTTTGAAAGCCTCTTTTTCTAGCTTCCGCAATCAATCTCCTAGCAACCAATAATTTCCAAATTATGAAATTGAAGACCACATCCCAAAGGGGCATCTGCATTTTGCAGCAGAAATTCATAGCCAGCAATGACTGTCCCGCATAAAGCAGGAAACATACAGAAAGAATAATGCATTCTTCAGATGTAAACTTGAAAACAAAAGTTACACAACACGGCACTACACTTCAAGAATGTGAAAATAATGGGCTGACTTGCAGTTCCACTTTAGAAAGGTGAAGTTTACATGAATCCAAGGTTCAAAGTATCGACACGTATCAGCCGATACGTATCGTTCCGGGACCCCTCCGATACGCCCCTACAGTGGGTGTATCGGGGGTCTGACCGGTTCAGGGGGTAGAGGAGCCCTAAACCGGCCCCCCTGAAACCGGTTGCGGGAAAAAAAAAACAATAAAACACAATATCGATTTGCCCAATACGCCCCTACCGATGTATCGGGCGTACCAATATTTTGAACCTTGCATGAACCAATAAATTTCTAAAAGTTGAAATTTGAAAACCAGTGAGAAACCGTCGTCAAACATTTCCAGAAGCATAATATTAAAAAATATGCATATAGTACAAGAAGATAGTGAGTCTGTACATGACATAGAAGTATGGAAACCTGCTACTTACCCCTAACCGATAAGACCCAAAGGTAAATATGACAGCATTTGCCTCCTCAACCATTTGATCTGTGTACCCCCTCTGGCGAGTTAATTGCTTGACCCAACCTTTTACAATCTAAATATAGGGAAAAGACAATGTTGCAAACAATTAGCTACAACAGAAAATGTTATAAAAATTGAAAAAAAAACTAACAGAAAAATACAACAAAAATATAGAAAAATACTAAACTCACAAGTAGCTCAAAAATAAAAGCTGGTTGATATGACACTAGAGAATGTACAAGGATGAAAGAAATGACTGCAAGGGTATGGAAGAAGCGGAAATGTGAAATGAGAGGTTATGTGCATTTGAACCTTGATATCAAGCCACATTAGAAATACATTACCAATATTCTGCCATTGTTTACGTAATTAAAAAAACTCTTCAAGAAGAAGCAGAATAGTATTTATATCCTTCTATGGATTTGTCATACACGTTTCCCCATATTCTTTGACCCATTATCCACTTCCACTTTTCAGCCAACGAACTCAACTCAACTAGGCCTTGTTCCAACCATATAGAGTTGACTAGTTTCCAGGCAACAAAAGAAACCAAAAATGCAAACTGATATAAATTTTTCCAACAGAAAAAATAGCAACTGCACAACAAATGGAACCTCTTGGAAGTACTTGTAGTAGCACTGATTTGCAGATAAACTTGGTAGTTCAATTGTTCGCTGTGCCGTTGCAAAGTATTGGATAAACAGCAAATCAAAATCAAACTAGGTGAAGCAGCATCAAACAAACAAGGGAAAAAAGATCTTAGCTCTCAAATCCTGCATCAACTATAACATTATCATTAGTTTCCAGTTCCTAACAAAAAGAACATTTTAAATTAATTAACTGCCTGTGGTATCAACAAGACATTGCCATTTAATATCTTTTGTTTCTACTTCCAAGGTCCCACCACTTTCATGATCTAAGGCATATTGGGGTTTTACATGTAATTGACAGGATGTAAGGATAATATCAATGTTCTTACTTAGGATACAAACACATCAAAATAGAAAGTTTAATTAGAATTTTATTTATAGGCACCAGCCCCATACCATGTAACCAAGGAATATGGGGTTTAGGTTATTTCTAGGTGGCCTCAAAACATCATTTTGATAATCCTCGGATTTTAGAGATCATTATCCCATAATTGTCGGAACTATGGATTCCTCTGCATCAAATGTTACTAGCAGTATCTACTAAAGGAACTTCAGACATTGTTTGCTCGTTTCTGCTACTTTTGTAAAATCATCACTATTATTAGCAGCATCCAGGTACTTTCTACTTTTCTTGGTTTTATGCAGAAGAATAGCCATAAGCATCTAAGTCAGAGTAAATTTATTAACTTTTATCCTTATACATTGTTTATATGTTTGAACTTTGACTAGTGGCTCTACATCTTCTAGAGCAACCTATAAACAAATGTTAATTAAGCACTTCCAGCCAAACGCTCAGAGACATATTCTGATTTTCATCTATCTCAGCAAACGAACTTCTAACAGTTGAAAGAGCATTAGCCCATGTGAACTATCTGAAAATATAAAATTTCCAAAAAGCTGGCTTCTAATTTGGAAAAATATGTCATTTTTATATCCTTTTCATGATAAAAACAAGATCATTGACTAGTTAGTAATTACCTTATCAATCTGACCAAGAACATCTTCCCTTTTAGCAGCTTCTTCTTTGGTTTCATAGAGCCCAGCGTCAACCAAGAACTTCAACACAATCATAGGAATATCAGGATGCGAATGTAAAAAAGAAATAAAGAATCTTTTAAAAACAACACCTACGCATACGGCATACCTTCTCCAATTCCAAATTTCTCTGGATATCCGCCTCCGTTGGTCCAGCAACAGAGATCGGTTTCGTCACCCCATACTGCCTCACTGCTTGTGGAGGCGACGGACCACTCAAACCTTCGGAACTCACCATCGTTATATCAAAGAAACTACTCGGAAAAAAAAAAAAAAAAACAAGGACAAAAATAAAAGCAAGAACCCAAAAAATGAACGAGAGAAAGAATTGCCCTAGCTTTTAGACACAGAAGAAAGCGATCGAATCGGAAACGCGAGCAAACAATTTCACATAAAAGATAGTACTGAATTTAGATCGATGAGGCTGGGGCACCAGCAACGGTGAAATCGAAGAACGAAACCCAAAAATCATCAAGAAAAAAAAAAAACTTGGTGAAGAATTTACAGAACGAGGTGGAGATTGAAACCCTAAAAAACCATCCAAAACTAATCCACTCCTCCGGATCGAACAAGAAGCAAGTACTAAAACCCAAAATCAAATCAAATAACGCGCTCAGAAGGGAGATTACTATGAGAAGAAATTTCGAGTAAATAAAATGAAGGGGGAAAAAAGGAGAGAGAAGCCTATATGGAGATAATAAGAGATGTAGATAGAGAAAAAATATCAAAACACAGAATATCAAAACAACCCCTAGAGGAGGAATGATTTAATATGGGGAAAGAAAAAGGTTCAACAGATCTAAGGAGACAATCAGATTAAACCAAAGACCGGCAAAGAAAAGCTGTTTCGCGGCTTTCTGGTGGTAAGTGGGTCCAGAGGGGGAGGGAGGGAGAGCGAGGCGGGCGGGAGGGAGAGAGAGGCGGCACTAGCAGGAGTAAGGGGGAAGGGAGTATACTCATTTATACGAACCGGGGGATCCGGTTTAGGGGGTGGGGCTGGTTCGGGGAAGTCAAATAAAACGGGATCGTGAGGTCACATCCTCGTTGCTTCTTTCTTTCTTTCCATCTCTCATTCTCTCTCTCGCTACTCTCTGGTCTCTTACCCGGATATTTTTTCTGGGCATTGCGGTGCCTCTTCTTGAGTGTTGACGTGTTTGACGGCTGAATATCAATGCGCAGACTCGTGTCATGCACGGATTTCGTTAAGCGAACAATAAATAATATAAATATAAAAAAGTATATAATTATTTTTATTTTTTAAATAATTAATAATTATTTATATTTTATATATTATATTTTTAATAACTTTTTTACAATACAAAAGTAATAATAATTAATTTAAGATAGGGTCGTTTGCTAAATCGATGAAATAGACCAACCTGATCCAACTTGACCCAAGTGTGCTAGTTTTTTAATATTTTTGATCGGCTTTGGTTCAACAATTTCTCAACTCAACCAGGTTGGATCAATTTCGGTTTGGTCATTTGTAAACCGAACTAACTTGACCACATATATTTTTTTTAATATAGAAAAGTAGGAAATATCCCATATTTCTTAGTCTAAAATATTTTATATTATGAACTTAATTTTTTTTAATTTTTTTAATAACACATTGTGATTTTTTAAATTTAAATTTAAATATTTTGAACTAACTGCACTAAAACCAAAAATCAACCCAAACAAATATAACCTGAATTGGCCAATTATAACTAATGGTCAATTGGTTTCGGGTAACCAACTCCCTAACCTGACCAGATGATTAGATTGGCCAAACAACCTACAACAGAATTGAACCAATTCATGAACACTCCTTATTTCAACTAAGGCTCGGTTTGAAAGGAGTACAAATACAAATATGTAGTGTAAAACCTTGTATTTTGTATTATTTAGTATGTATTTGTACCGTACATATTTGTATTTGCACTCTATCCAAAATGAGCCTAAATTAATAGTTTACGCTCTAATAAATAACAATAGTTTAATCTCCAATAGTTATTAAAAAATTATAGCAAAAATGCACAATTATTAAAAATAAATTTATAAAGAAAATACAATAAATAACTAATAAAAATACAAGAATGCAATAAATATTGAAAATATATTAAATTAGTCAATAAATAGTATAATCTCAAATAATAGTTTAATCTCTAATAAATATTAATCAATAAATTATAAAAAAGATACATAATTACTAAAAATAAATTTATAACAAAAATATAATAAATTAAATTTAAAATAAAAGTAGTTTAATCTCCAATAATTATTTAAAATTTTCTATTAAATAAAAATAAAAATAGATTTGTACATAATTATTGAAAATTTATTTATCACAAAAAATAGGTATTAGTAAAGAAGTAATAAACAGTAAATGAACAGTAGTGTGTGATGATGAACAGTGATGAACAGTGATGTTATGCAACAATACTCGGAAAATACTATTCAAAAAGTATGTAATTATTGGAAAACTTCTCAATATAAATCTAATAGTACTTACAGAGATATAGCACACACAGGTACAACAGCAGACACTCTTACGAGATTACAGAAAATCTCTCAGAAAGAAAGCACTCAAAAAAGCAGACACTCTAGAGACTTATAGATTTCTTTCTCAAATCTTACACCCAAAGGAAACCCCTGAGAGCCTATAATACCCTGTAAGCCCAAGGAAATGCCTATAATACCCTGTAAGCCCAAGGAAACCCCTGAGAGCCTTTACAGTTGTGGGCTTGGGCCATTTTTGGATGGCATCTATCTTTTCTGGGTCTACCATGACCCGCCCTGCTACAACCACATGGCCTAAGTATTGTATCTGTTTTTGTCCAAAAGAACACTTGGTCATTTTGGCATGTAACTGATGTTCCTTTAGAGGTGAGGGTAAGTCTCAGATGTTCCATATGGGTGCCCCA